AGGAAAGAGTGTTCATTATAACCTCTCGTTGTTTTAGCCATTGTTGTTTATCAGGAAAATATCCTCCATAAATCAATAAATCTCTTTTATTGTTGGGTTTATATTTAAATGGTTTTCCACATTCTCCGTCATAGTTAAAGTGAGTTAAGTCTAACAGTTTGTCTTTATAAGTTGATTTACTTTTTGACTTTACTATTATTTCTTTATTTAATCTAATGCCTTCATTTGATTGACTAGCAAGCATATAAATAATATTTATAACAACAATTAATGAGAAAAGCATCATTCCAATAATATAGAAGACAGACAACCTTGAAGACATAGTTATATTCTTAAAATGCTCTGACTTGAAGATCCTTTTTATACAATAACGAAACGGTTTTGATTTTTTTTCGGAACTCAGCTTCTCTTGAAAACTATTCCCGTGAAGGCACCAACACTTTATTTTTATATCAAATTTACTACCAAATGATTTAAATTATAGAGGTTGGTTGTATCATTTGTTTTCTTTAAACAATTTTGAATATTACTTGAAAAATGGATGTAATAACATGGAAATAAAAAACCATTTATAGAATATATCTTGTTTCAATGGAATATTTTCTTGTTAGGTTCAAAGGTTATTGCATTATCTTTTCATTTATTCTAATCATATCACTATCAGTAAATATTTTAAGATTATATCAGTGTCACTAATAGCGTTATTAGATGTTTTTTATCATTAAAAAGTGTTATTATTGGGTAAAACAACTATATTTGAGTAAAGACAAAGAGAATATTTACAATATTTTTCTTGTTCTATTTTATTAAAAGAAAATGAATGAGAAATGAAGAATGAATATCAGAAACACCACACAAGCATTAATACAATTTCAAATAATGAAATATCAATTATTATTTAATCATGATGATGTATTTACATAATAAATATAATAATTAATAATACAAAGAATGAAGTAAGGTATTATGATTGAATAATATCAAATGAAAATGATATAAATGATAGAGTTATAATAAATGAAATTATAAATAATAATATAAGGAAATATTCATTCATCATAAAATAGAAAAAAAGGAAAGATGAAATTCATTCATATTAAAATAAAAATCCAAGAAGAAGATAAATAGAAGAAATAAACAGAAATAAGAAAGAAATGAAAACAAAAGAAATAAAACAAAAGAAGAGTGATTTATTAACAAAACAAGAAGAAAATTTAACTGATAAATAAAACAAATAAAATACTCATTTTAATGATATATAATGTGAATATCATCAAATAAAAAATGAATAAATGTTAATTTTAATAACATTTGACCATCATATGTTTAATTTTATCATATTGTTTAAACAAAATAATTGGTATTCAAAAGATATGTTTTTGAAAGTAAACACAAAAAGTGATACAAAAAGTTAATATTTGTCTCTATAATAATTATTATTTACAAAAACTTATTACCAAAATTAATAAAGTGGTTTGAATTAATTTGATTTATATTTCTTATTATTGTTTGTATTAAATTAAGTCCACAATTATTGCATCGTGTTATTATAAATTTTTAGAAATTTATGGAATGGATCATTGACTTTTCATTGTATGTTTTGTCATAATGTGAATAAAGGTAAATTCAGTGTCTGATAAAGAAAACACAACTGTTGATTCAATACAATGGAGAATGAGTAATAAGCATAATTTAATTAATTTTTAATATAACAATCTTTCATTGATATTTTTATTTTATCAAAAAATAATATAAGAACTCTTTCTTTAGTGAGTGTAAATGTTCTTTGATAATGTTATATACAAAAATAAAACCAATTAAAAATATTCGATAGTATATACAAGTTGAATAAAGTTAAATATAAGAATGAAAATACATTGAGGTTATTGTGTGATCCAATTATAAAAACTTATTGAAGAGTGAAGAAATTAGAGTTTTCAAATGATTTTAGAAAAAAGACTTAATTTTAATTGCTTAAAAGTTGTTAAGTTTTAAGTAATGTTATGTACACCAATATCTGTAAACAGTATTATTTACTCATACTAAACTAAAACAACCATTCTTTATTTTTATTATGTTGATTGTGTTATTTTAAATTAAACTTAAAATATCATTTTTTAGTTTAAATAATAATTAGTTGCTCATTTAATTTGTTTTTAATCATTTATTTTAATATTATAACGATTTGATAGTTATACTTAAATGCGAGACATTATAAATACAAACAAAAATTAAAATAAATCAAATTATTGTTTCATTATTTCTCTTCAAGTCATGAAATTGTATTTATTAAATTATTTGAATTCTTCTTTGTTTATTGTTATTTATTATGAGTGTTTGGTAAGAAAGTGGTTATTATGTTTGAAGTGGTGTTTATAAATGTGAAAGTAATTTGTTAATGACATTTTTGAGTTGAATATATGTATTTAACACGAAAAGTAGTTGATAATTGAATGATGATAATTAATAAGATTCAATGGAATGTTAATGATATATTTAACATAAAACAATAAAACAAAGAATGATAATATTTAATACACAATAAAATCAAAACAAAAACAAATACAACACAAATGAATCAACAAAGAGTTGAATAAATAT